TTTTCCTTTTTTTAAGGGACGCTTGGGGGGAAAAAAAAAAAAAAAGCAAAAAAAGCCTAAAGCAAAACTGGCTGTGTAAGAAAGTATTAAGAAATGGTTTCAAGATTTCTAAGCCAGGATTTTGTGTTATATATTTACAGATTCAATTTGTGTACCAGGCTTTGATCCAAGCCTTAGTATGATGACTGGAATCACTCCGATTAACCCAATGATACCAGGCATGGGGTTAGTGCCACCACCACCACCAACAGATGTGCCTGTAGTCAAAGAAATAATTCACTGCAAAAAAATCCCTCCAAACCCAAGTAAGTGGGTCTGATCAAATAATGTTATTTTCCTAATTATATTGCATGAAAAAAATTTATCTAATAAAACCTATGGTTTTTAAATAGAGTGCAGACAAGTATTGTGTTTCCTTCTAAAATCTACCCTGTGTGTGAAGCATGGTATGGTATCAGAGCATATTTATTCATCTCTGTGATGTCATGTAAAAAAACCTACTCAGTTTGTACAAAAAAAGAAAAATAATTACTTAAAGCTAACAGAGCCTGAAGATCTACACTTCTCATAGGAGAAATCTTTCTTTCCTTTAGAATCATAGAATCTCCTGGTTGGAAAAGACCTCTGAGATCATCGAGTCCAACCATTCTGAGATCAGAATGTCACAAAATACAATGATTACATGGTGCTGCTGATCACTGATATGCTCCCCTTCTGGTGCCCAGAGTTAAATGGGACCAGTCTGGGCTTGTGTCCCTGAACACAGCACCTAGCACCCAAACACTGACTACCTCTGGTCCCTCCCTGGGGGAAACAGAGAGAAAGGGGGACTACAGCTCCTCTCTTGCCATTTTTGTTGGGGCAGCATGTGGATGAACTGTTTCTCCTCTTTGAGAGCCAGGACCAGGCTTCCTTCTGCCCCTTCTGGGACTTTGTGCAAATGAAAAACTCTTCCCACTGAGCCACGAGCTCCAGCACAAAGCCAGATTTGGTGTTTGTTAGCCCCAGGAGTTTAGTTGCAGAGCTCTCAGAGCAGCAGCTTTCACTACCACTGTGAAGACAAAAGAGAAAATTAAGCAAATAGTCTGGTGCTGTGGATTTGCAGTGTACCCAGATCATTGTTTAATCAAACTGGCTGTGTGTGTGTATATGTGTGCGTGTATATATATATGTATATTTTAAGGTTGTAACCCCATTTACTGTGTTAAAAGGACAAAAAACTAAGTCATATGAATCAGATTTTTTCTTAAAGAATTACTTTTAGAGGAATGCTCTAGTAATCTACATATAAACAAGGTGAAATGTTATGACAGAATATATATTTTTATACAGCCTTCAAAAATTTAATAGTTTTCTTGATTTAAGTGTGTATATATTCTACATATATATATATACACATAAAAATAACATTTCTAGCCACTCCACTTCATAAGCACTTGTAAACAGTGAGGTTATCCTTCCCGTGTGCTGGCGTCTGCTCCATTATCTGGCAACAAGACAAAAGAGATAACCAGTAGAGCATTTTCATCATGCTGTCACTTCGTTGTGTTCCCTACTTTGTTTTTCTGTTTGCTGTGCTCTTGTACTCTGAGACAGAAATGAAATTATGCTAAGACGAAGGAGAAGTGTCTGTCCAGCCCAAGTTCCCGGGGTGTACACAGCGTAGGCTGGCTTGCAGCAGGCCCACACACTTGGCTAGTGTGGCAAGTGATGGGTACAAGCCGGAGATGGTGAAGCTCAGGCTTTGAATGTGCTGTGCCAGTGCTTGAGATCTGTGCTGGGGGCCAAATCAGTTGCAGAAGCTACCCTGCTTTGAAACAGGGTATTTTCTAATTTTTGCGTGACTGCGCAGAGAAAAGAAAGAACCTTTTTGACCTTACTGTCTGTCCTGGAGAACAACCCACAGTGGCAGGAATTAATATCTGAAATGCCACTTAAAACTTGAAAAGGTTTGGATTCAAGTAATCAATTTTGGCCAATGTCTGCAATATTAAATTATTTTGCTTCTCCCTCTCCCCCACCTCCATGCTATGTCAAATAACTGTTGCTGCCCAGAACTGATTAGGGGAATGAATAGAGCCAATGGATCAAAAGACAAATTTTGTATTCCAATGTGATTTCTGTTTTGACTTAGATCTTCCACCACCTTCAACAAGAGAGAGACCGCCTGGGTGTAAAACAGTGTTTGTTGGAGGATTACCAGAAAACGCAACGGAGGAAATTATTCAGGAAGTCTTTGAACAGTGTGGAGATATAACAGCAATTCGGAAAAGCAAGAAGAATTTTTGTCACATTCGTTTTGCAGAGGAGTTCATGGTTGATAAAGCCATTTACCTTTCTGGTACTTCACATTCTTTAATGGATTTTCCTTGCTTCTCATTTGTATTTTGTGATGCTAATGTTTGCTTATTTTCTTAGCTTTTATCTCAGCAAGTCTTTCTTGAGCTCAGTGGCTGTAGCTTGGAGTGGCGAGGGGCAATTCTGTATTTCTCTGTGTCTGCCAAGGCTTGCGCGTGGTTTTGTATGTTGCCGGGAGCTATTTTCTGCCATCCTACAACAATGCAGCAGTTCCTGAAATCCACTACAGAACAATCTTATTTTCGATTTACACAGGTTTGTATAGTTTTGCTCACAGGTTGTGGAAAGAGAAGGGCGCTAAGCCAGGAACGCTACTGTTGTCCAGTGCCAATTTCTCTGATAGGCTGGCAATTTCATTGGCATATTTTTGTAGATTTGCAGTGCAGTCTGAATAAGTCTGCCTTTATGCAGGCATGCATTCAGCTACTGCATGGGTTAGGTTCTGAGCCCCATCTGTAGGCTATGTCTGTTGCCTCCCAGGGCAACGAGTGCCACTGAAACTCAGGTGTAAAATTTCAGAATCTTTTTTTATTTTCCAACAAAAGAACAAACAAAAACACTCTCTAACTCACAGGGAAAAAAAGAAAGAAGAAACAAAAAACAATTCTGTTTTCACATATCAGGCTTCAGTGACTGTCAGTGCCCTGTTAAGGTTACAGGCTCCATCATGTGAGGATCTGAGCTGAATCCCATCCCCTGTATATGTTTGTCTCCCTAAACTGGTTAAGCTCTCTTTCTGGGTCCTGGGGAGGCCCACAAGCATTGTTTTGCCCTAGACTCTACACAAATGTAGTGTAACACTTTCATCCCATGTGCAAGGTATTCTCAAAATAAACAAGAGGGAAGGACTGCTCCTTGGCCAAAACAAGCTGACACAGACTGGCTTACAGCCACCCTCCCTGTGTAGGGTGACCTCAGAGGGACCCACTGGGACAATCAAGAATGGAGCCTGGGAGGCAGCGAACGATTAGGGACACCTTGTTTGAGTTCCCACTCTGACCATCTTCTGTTTAGCAGTAAGGACATAACCTCAATGTCCTGTAGGTTTCTCACGCAGCTAGAAACAAGTGGTCTCTCAAATCGCCACTACAATGTACAATCTACATTGTAAAAAGAAAGAGAGAAAGAAAAGAAAATATCTGAACTTTTGAAATATGTGGTCAGGAAAAACATAGCTCCTTTGTTTCAGAGAGGTTTTTGTGTTTGGGTTTGTGGTTTGGTTTTTTTCCTAACTTGGCTGCTTGCTTTAAATATCTGTTTGAAGAGGTACAGAAAATTGTTTTATGAGGTCTATATAAATTTCTTTGAAATATTGCTGCATTTTCAGGTTTCTTCCAGATCTTAATTCCAACCTGCTTTTTTCTTCCTTTTTTAAAATTTTCTCTTAATTTCTTCTTCGCTCCTCATCCTCTCTTCCCAGTTTCCAACCTTCCTGTTTATTTGTTAATTCACTTACTACTTCCATATTGCTGTAGTTCATTGGGGCAGATTACAGGCTTTGCAGTAGTAAGAAGCAGTAGCACATTTCCCAGCTCCCAGATTTTTTCTAGGGGCCTCTATCTCCACAAGTAGCAGAGCAGAGGAGGGGCACACCAGAGTCAGTAGGAGTGGCATTACTGTATATGATAAACAAAACAGTGGCAAGAAAGAGAGCAAAGAAAACTCAGAAATGTACAGACTGCCACCTTCAGCCAGAGCCAATGTCCCTCTAGCTCAGTTTCCTACTTCTCAGCAGTTGACTGCACCCTTTGCTTCACTCCAAGTCAACTGTCATTTTAATTTTATATACCTTGAATGCTGGAGGACCAGATTTGATGATTAGAGGTAAGAAATTCCCTGTACTGCCATGTGTCCTCATTCATAACACACTGGAGTGCCCATTCAGGTTAAGGCATATGAGCAGAGATGGAGGTGACAGAATCTCTTCCTCATCCTGAATTTTCTGCCATTTTATTTCCAAGTTCCTGATCCATCCTTCCTTCTTCCATTTCCTTTCATCGCAGTTACACTGCTATCTACAATTCCTCTTACCTTCTGCTCTGCAGCCTCCCTCCCCATCTGTCTTTACCCCCACACCTTTTCTTTCTTCTGAAGATCAGATCAGTGAAAGAACCATTGGAGCTGATAGGGAGGAGGAAGAAGAGCAGGGGCACGCTGCAGCCAAGTTTCACTTCTTTTTGCCACTGGCACTGAACTCTTCAGGTGAAACAGGGAGCACTGACTGTCCCCCACCAACACAGAGCAGGGAGGTCTGGCACTAGACAAGGGCATGTGTTATTTGTACTGAAATACTGGGGGTTTTTAACCAGTCTTTATTCCATGCTCAAACATAATTTATTCTGAAGTGGTGGGGATGAAGCATATTGTTAAGGCATTTTCTTTTCCCTGTAAGAGACAAAAGAGATGTACAAATGGAATTTGTGGTTAAAATAGTATGCACATTCTATTAGGGAAAAGTCATGCCTTTGGTATCTGTAATATGATGACAATTTTGTCAACCTAATCACTTTCATCTGTCTACCCCATCTGATCTCATCAAACTTTGTATTTATCCCATGCTTATCATCAGAATAATGTAAGTGATTGCAAAATCCATTGAGTAGTTTAATCGCTGGGGTTTTTTTCCTTTCTATTCCAAGTTAACACGTATGAAAAGGAGACTGGGAGATGGGTAGAAACCTATAATAAAAAAGTTGACTTGAGGTTTTCGTTTAGCCCTGAAAGTTACAATTTGATCTCCTGAGGAAAAGGCTTTCTTTCTCCAAAATGTATGTACTTTACTCTTTTGGCTGACAATTCAGCAACGCCTGCAAATATTGATGGCCCTAGACTTGAATATATGGGACAAACAGGTGGCTTGAGACAGACCTGTTTATACCCCGAAAGCCTGTTAATGCATTATTCCTTTGCCAATATTTTCCCCTGTGGGTTTCCATTTGGTACCATGTACTGGTTTTATTTTGTTCTCAATGATCACCATCAACGCTCTGATCTAGATCCCCAGTTAGAGGGCAGCTATTGGCTGGTCCCCAGTATAGCAACACTCAAAGGTAAGTCAAGCCATGGAGTTTTGACTAGACCTGTGATATAGAAATACTGTGATTTTTTTTAGCATCCTAATTAATTTTTCCTGTTGCTGCTTCTTTAAAGTGAAGATCTTGTCAAGTTCCTAAAGTCTGTTCCTCTGCCATTGTGTGTGAAAATGAAATTAAAAATGACAAGCCAGGCATGCAGTTAGTGGTAGCTGCAGCCCTGAGCAAAGGGACGGGGAAAATGGTCTGTGAGGGCAATTCACTGCCCATGCATGAAGGGGAGGCAATAGCAGGTGGTTCTCTAGTGCATATAAATACCCTAGAACATCAATAAGGAGATATGGTATTGGAAAAGAGTAAGCCTGCCAGCTGCCCTGCAGCTCAGAGCTGCCAACCCAAATGGGTGCCTGGGGATCCCATATACAAGATAGGACCTGCCAGTTGTGCCCCCCTTGCTATAAGGCATCTTGCTGGCTATCAACCCATCATGGAGTCTGTTCTTCACTGGCTGTTGGTCCTATAGTGTCTGCAATGCCTGATTGAGGAGGGTGCAAGAAGCCATGACAAGGCATTTGCTTTTGTTGTTAAGGGGAAGATGTCAAGCCTTGAGCAACCTGATCTGACTTTGAAGTTGACCCTACTTTGAGAGAGGGATTGGACTAGATGACATCCAAGGTCCTTTCCGAACCAGGTTATTCTAGGTTTCTGTGCTGGTGGAAACCTCCTGTCTGGCTGGCCACCTTCAGAGTTTAACAAGCGCTAAGATATTTTCAGTGATTCATGGGCAATTTCAAAAAGCTGTTAATTTGGAGGTTCTCAAACTGGTTACTTAAAGAGAACCATTTGTTCAGTGCTACACAGTGTACTGGGTCTTGGACTGCAATTTGCACTGTTCTATGTTTTTTCCCATTATCCCCATTTACTTCAAAAATGAGGACCACTTCAGTAAAACTCAGCTTTGTCAGTGCACATAGAACCTATAGATGCAGTCCTTTTCATTACCTCTTTATTCAGATTAAATGGGACTTTGAAGTCCACAAAAGTCTTGCGTCCTGCAGTGCTGCATTTTTCAGTCTGTCCATGCCCAATGTGCTCACCAACGGAGGCAAAAGACGTGAGAGAGGAAGAGACACTGTGTCTTCCTGGAAAGTACAGCCCAGCTGAGAGATCTAATTTTAGGTTCACAAGACCTGGCACCTTGGCAGTGTCCTTTCACATTGCTGTTAATGCCGTTTTGGCACAGAGCAATAATCACTGTGTGAGGAATGCAGCTGGCTACTCAAACTGGGGGGGTTAACATTTGTCACAGTTATCAGGGTAGCTGCACCACTGACCCCTTTTGGCTGACCCCTTCATGCCTACACCTCTGTGGATAAAACCACATAATTACCCCCTCATTAGTTCAGGGCCCAGCTCTGAAAGGTCACCCACACCCTTCTATTATGTCTCACTGAATGTAGTGTATCTATAATATTCTTCCCTTCAACACCTTGTGTCTGGAGCTACATATATGACCACAAATAGCCTTGGGGGGGGGAAAGTAGTGTTTACTCCTCTGCACAAGAGAAAACAGAGCAAAATAGGTTTTTAAAATAAACAATCCCCTTGTTTGCCTCTCTTGCAATACTCAGTCCTATTTCACTCAAAGCTTGCGAGCCTTGGAGGTCGGATTTGATAGGTTCTATGGAAGTGATGCCTTCTGACTTTAAGGGACTTTGGAAACCCTTCGCTTGAGTTTTTCATCTGGATTTGGAGTCCTTGCTAGAAAATGAAAGTCATATCTCTTCCTTACTGACAGGCTACTTAGCTTGACTCCACAAGATGTTTGAAAGGAAAATGTCAGATAAAAAGACACCCGGATTGTTTTTTTGGGGGAGCATGATCACTGCATATATGGATATTTAATGTATTTGAAGCTATTGTCTCGTATGTGCTGTAGTACAGACAGTCCTTTGTATTCATACAGCAGGATGTTTTTACAGCAGTAAAACAAACAGACCGTACCTAGATATGCATTTTTGCAAAGGTGCTTCTAATCTACTACACAAATCTTAGCTTTTTTGTCCCTGGAGAGAGTTCAAAACTGAGATTATACTGTGGTGGTGAGGTGCTGAAGCTCTTCAAACCACAGGCAAACCATGAGACTGAAAGGTAGGTTCTCTTGGATTGCTGTTCAAAAGCAGCAAATACCATTTTTCCTGTCATTTCAAACAGGAGTTTCCTGCCCCTGGAGTGATTACGCAGTGGTTGTAGCAGTGTGTGTTTCTGAAGAGCCTTATATATGCCAGCTCAACACACAGTTCATCTCTGCAGAATTCTGTGATTTGAGAAGTCTCTGCTGGGCTGCTCTGCTTCTGAGGCTACTGCAGCAGGTTGACATGGAGAAATTAGAGCTAGCCCTGTGCAAACTGGTTAATTTTACTTGCCTTTGAGGGCTGTTTGCAGCTTTGTATGTCATATTTTCTCACACTTTCTCTGAATCAGCATTTTAAAAGTCAGAGAAACTGCTATGTGAGTGTATTTTGGTCTTGGAAATAAAAGTTGAAAAAAAAAAAAGATGCCCAACATATGTTCTTCCACAATATGGTCACTAAAAGCTCCCTTTATAGCTTTGGCATGATTTGTTTGTCCTCTGACAGCAGTCAAGAGTTTTAGTTTGGAGCAGGACCCTGTTGTACTGCTGTGTAGTCCTGACTTAAAGCCTTTGCAGTCTGCTAGCTTTAGCATATGATGCATTAACAAAAATATGATTGTATAGAACATTGCTAAAGGTGAGGCACAACAGGTTTCATTATTTGTTCTGAAAGTGGTCTTGCAAATGTCTAATAAATCCATTCACACTTTCAAAATTACTTTAAAGGATGCTGAACCTAATTAATTTGTAGGTGGTTTATATTTTTTGTAAGAAGATTTTTGATAGGGAATTGGAAAGTAGTGTTTGCAATTGTAAAGCCTCAAAATTTGAGATTTAACATCAGTGTAGATATGACACCACCCTCTTTGTGACCCAAGACTTTATGTAGCATAATTTTCTCATTCATCTGTAGTAATGATTTTTTTAAAATTCAGCCTTTCCCCATGCTTGCAATTCCTTTGGCAGGCTGGACAAAAGCACTAAACTGGACAAGATCTCAACAGGATCAGGGGAGAAAGACTTTATATTCAGACCAAACCAGATAATTTTTCAGTAGTTGGTTTTTTTTTTGTTTAGCTGACCCTTGCACATATAAAGGCTGGAAGTATCAGGTAGAAAAATGACGTATTTTGAGAAACTCCTAAACAGGAATATAGATTCTGTACCTTTGGGTCGACTTTTTCAGTTCACCTACGATGTTGATAGGAGATGCAGAAATTGTGAGGAAAAATGAGTGGATGAATGTTTATCTTCCGGTGAAAGCACAACGATCGATAGATGCTGTGTAGATATGTGGGAATCTGTTAATGTACATTTTTACTTAACTGCATTTGAGGGGGGAAAAAAAGAAAGAAAAAAAAAAAAAAGCAAAGAAATCCTGCAACAGTTAGTTCTGCTTGTTGGTTTCAGGTTACCGCATGAGATTAGGATCTAGCACAGACAAAAAGGATTCAGGTCGCCTTCATGTTGATTTTGCTCAGGCAAGAGATGACTTTTATGAATGGGAATGCAAACAAAGAATGCTGGCCCGAGAAGAACGCCACAGACGCAAAATGGAAGAAGACAGACTGCGCCCTCCTTCTCCTCCGGCAATAATGCATTATTCTGAACACGAAGCTGCTTTGCTGGCTGAAAAATTGAAAGGTAAGCAGCATTTCATACTTTTCAGTGTATTATTCCTTAAGAGCAGGAGCCATCCAGAAGTCAGAGAAGGGGAGCATATTTCTCTCCCATGTATTTCATTACTTGCCCTGTTAGCTTTCCCCCATTCCTCTGCCGTTTCTATGCCAATGGGAAAGATACTCACCCACCTGCGAGAAATGCAAAACATCTGTCCATCTACCTGTGCTTTAACAGCTAAACCACAACCTTATGAATACTACCATGGGGTTTCTTTCTCCTCAGCTGCTGTCATCATCTACCTTGGAAATGCTCTCATAATAAGACAACCTGTTACAAACATCCTTCATGTTAAAGGCCTGATCCTTAAAATGTCTTTATTCCTTGACTGATATGTTACTACATTACATGTGTGTGACTGTCCCAATTCCTAGCATTTAAATTGCCTTCATGAGCTGCATTTTAATGTGCTCCTCAGATGCAGTGGTACAACTTATCTCTGACACACACCATCCATTCTTTCATTTCCTCTTTAGGGCTAGAATAACTTGTTCAAGATAGGGTATTGTTTTGGTATGGGTTTGCTTGTTTATGTTTTTTTTTTTCTAGGTACACTTCCTGAGTTAGTGTTTTTCAAGGGTGTAGCTTAAAGACTCTTGTCTGTAAAAGTTAACATAGAAAGTAAGAAACAAAGAAATAAAATTATTCATAGTGAAGAAATTAATTAAAAAGATCAAGCAAACAACTCATCATACCCCTTAGGATTGTATTTGTTTTCACTGAGTGTTTAGCAATTGTGTTTGGCATTCTTTCCCCATGTGGTGGCCAAGCATGTTACTTTACTGTGTACCAGGTCACAAGAAACTGTGACTCTTACCACTGTTTCAGAATTAGATTAGACTTAGGCTATCTAGCTGTCAACACACCAGCCTCTGTTATAACTACAAAACATGTTTGGGAAGCCAGAGGACAGTGCAAAGTGTTGCATCCTTGGAGCATGGAGCAGAGATGCACTCTACTGTCTCTTTGAGAACTGCATTGGTCAGTGTTAGTTGTCACTGTTACATCAGTCTGTTGCTAGTTTGGCTGACTAATATTCTCACCACATACACTCCTCTATTAAATAATCCATAAAGTAACTGGGAGATTGGTAAAATAACCCAGATGGACTGATAGACCAGGATAAAAGGAGGAAAGAGGCTCAAAGAAAAGAATTTTAAATTCTTTACTAGCTTCCAGTCCAGCTCCTCTGGAGGTTATACAGTACAATACTGAGTTTTAGATCCATCTGTTCCCAGAATCTGTTTTCAATTGAATATTTTAGGAGTTAATCTTTTATAGGGAAGTTTTTCTTTATGTAGTAAGGCCTAGAGGTTTCCTGAACTAAGCCAGAAAATGCAAGAAGTCTGGACAATTTCTTCCATATGGCTAGCCATTGCTTGGAGCAACTGAATGTGGTTTTTTGCAAGATGTTTAAGATGTCTATATTTAGAACAGTTTTTCTTTTCATTCTGGGAAGTTTCCGTACTTAATTAAAACTCATTCTAAGCATTTAGATCTTTGGTTCTCCTGAGGGACATTTGATCAGAGCTTGGCGTATATGCACAAGTTTAATATAGAAATATTTTGAGCACAATATAGACCAATACAATGTTCATGACTATTTCTCTGGAAATAAACTTTCAGAAGCATACAAAATTAAATATAATAAATTAATAAACCAAAATGGTAAGCTTATTTTTTATTGGTTAAAAAATCATTAAAATCCAGCAAAAGAACATATCGCAATTTTAAAAACTCCGTTAATTAGCCGTTACCTTGTAGTGAAATTAATTGTCACAGCCCCGGATCTGTATAGATTGTTGAGGATTGAGAAGGCAAAGAAGCCTCTCTCTCTTCTCACTGGTCATGAGTTGTGTCCTGTACTAGGTACTGTAGAAAGCAGAGATGGAGTTCAGTCATTATACTGGTCTGCTTTACCTTTCCTATGGCATCGTGTCATATTTGGCCTACCTTGGGCAACATGGATTCATCACATGAGCCCTAAAAAGAAAGGAAAGCAACACTAAAGAAACTTCTTTAACTCTGGCAAAAGGCAGTTCATATCATCATATGTTCAAAATTTAAATGTGGACTTCAGTGAAGCTAACAGAAGATAGATAGATAGATAGATAGATAGATAGATAGATACACTGGGCTAGCCCTTGGTTAGCAGCCAACACAGCCATTCACCCACTTCCCCCCCATCCCCAGGGCATAGGGGGAGGACTGGGGGGGCAAGGCAAAGGTGGCTTGTAGGTTGAGATAAGAACAGTTTAATAATAGAAAGAAAACTTAAAATAATGCTAATATTAAAATAGTACAGATAATGATAACAGTAACAAAATATGCAAGTGAATGACACCCAATGTTATAGCTCAGCCCTATCCTGACCGAGCCCGGCCTGTTCCCAGGTAACGATCCCGGAGGAGCGACAATCCCGAACCGAAACCACAATCCCGGAAGAACAAGAGCCCGAGCGAAAGCCAGAGAGAGCTAAAAGAGGAAGAGACCCTCACTAATATACTGGGCATGACGTGATATGATATGGAATATCCCATTGGCATATCTAAATGCCAATTTAGCTTATTAATTTAAATATTCTTCTCCCCCCTTAAATCTTGTTCTTGTGGACTAACAGAACACAAAGTCCTTCACTTCCAGCGACAAAAATGTAAACATTGGTACGTTATCAATGTCTCTCTCACAGCGAGTCCCAGGCTGGAAACTAAAACTCCGCCCTTCTAATTCCTAAAAAGAAAACCAGCTCTATTTCAGCTAAAAACCAGGGCAGTATATATATATATAAAACTTAGGGCCAAGATCTCAGGTCTTTGGATATCACCAGATCTACATTGCTGCAAAAACCTGGAGAATTCATCCTAAACAAAAGAAGAATCAAAATATATCTGGTCTTGGCAGGATTTACCTTGAAAGATTGGGTTTTGAGCAGATGCTTTGCAGTTGTTTTCTTAAGGAAAGTCATGACCTCCTCATGATACCCATTTCAAAAGACTCCTGAGTTCTATTGCCAGCTCATGAGACAGCTGCAGGTGCCCAGCATGCCGGTTTCAGCTCCCACAGTGCCTCCAGAACTCCACTGAGCAACACTAACTGAAAAGCAAGCCAAAATAGCTAAACATCTGTCATCCCAAGATACTGCTTTGCAATCACAGATGTAGGCAGCTTGGTCTGAATCCAACCAACTTTTGTTGTCAAAATAACCTTGGAAATTCCTGACAGCAAGGAAATCTGACAATGAGCAGAGATGAACTAGGCTCATCAGCCAGTCCACTGTTATGGTCTAGGTATTTATTGAGTCTGTAACAGAGGTGAAAATAACTTTGTTCACCTTCTGCAAACTGCCACATAAGAGTTAAATAAATCATTGTTTTTCTTTACCAGACTTGGCTGGAAACTCTCTCCTCAGTGTTGTAAGCATAGTCCTATTCCTCTCCTATGCTGAAATCACCTGGTACAGCAGTAACTGCCATAGAGGAGAGTGGGTGAGAAATTATAGAGGGATATTTTATGTCAGCTGGAAACAAAAATTCATTATAAGATTTCAGCCAGGTAGTCTCTACTGGTATGGAGCTTCATAGAAAAAAAGCAATGGTTTCTCAAAATGCACTGCCTGGTGACTGGGTCTGGGAACCAAGTTGACTCCATTGCATATGAGGCCTCGCATACCTGCAAAATATGAGGGTTTATGGCTTGGTCTCCATTCCCTGCTCTCTGTGGGCTATCCTAAATCCTTTAATATTTGCAGAAAACTTGGCTTGAACACTTTATTTATGCAGAAAAGAGGTAAACCCATCAAACTGTGGACCAGTGCAATTTTTCACCACTTTCCATTTTAGACTGTGGCAGACAGTGCTGTTTTATGGGTATCTTTCTTTTCCTTTTCCTTTTCTGCATTAAAGTCTTCAGGGTCCTTCAAATGAAATCCTTCATAACTTTTTCCTTGCTCACAGTGTGGACATTTTTTTCTGCACCTTGCATGTTGTTAGCCAAGAGTGTATTCCTTTTTCTTTTTTCTAAGTGCCTGTGATGTTTTTCCTCTCCCTATCCACCTATTATGCTTTGTCATTACCACTTTTCACTATGTAGCACTGACATATTGCTAGTATCTTGAGTGTAGGTCTCATGGATTTGAGCCTGTAGCTCTAAAAAATATAGGCCTACACTGATAACTCTCATTGATTAAACATTTTCTGAGTTGCTCTGCATCAATAATCTTGTAGTGATGTTCTCTGCTGGTCACAGACAGAGCCAAAAGGAGGAGAAACCAAGGAGATGATAGTTCATAAAAGAGGATATTTCCTGCATTAGAAAGATGACTTGTTACAAAATATTTTATTTAAATTTGTTTCATGCACTCCCATGAGAATCCGGCTCTTCATGAGTCCAGGACATAGAAGGCAGAGAGACCTGAGCCTAAATTATCACAATGAAATGAGCTCCAACATTCAAATTAGACGGGTAACATGGGGAAGAACATGAGCTCCTTCTCATACCAGAGGTACACTCATCAGTTTTAGGTTTCTACCACACATTTTAGATTGGGAAAATAAAACCATTATTTAATTTTGTATAATAAGTTATTTTTGTTTGGGTTTTTTTGACCTTCCAAACCACTAAAGTAGATTTGAAGGGAAAACACATAATAAGAAATAGGTGCTATTTGTTTAAAATTGTAAAAAAAAAAATCACTTTTTCAAAAGCTACTCTTCAAATCTACTTTTTGGTCCAAATATTCCAAAATTTGTCATGACATTACAAACAGTTTCATCAAACCATTCTCTGATTGCCATGGAATAAGATAACAGTTAAGCATAACTCAGGTTAATGAAACTTCTGGCCTCCTTTCTGACATCCTCCTGCCTTAGGTGAAGATCTGATATTTCCTTGAGGAAATATCTCAATAAATTAATACATGTAAATTCTAGGAAACCAAGGTCTTTTACAGTGAAATATAAATGTGA